GGAAATGCTACATCCCTCCACACTCATACAGGCACATTGGAAATGATTGACAGCTCCCTCAAGAGCTGCAGTGAATTATTCAGCACAATCTGACGGACCGACAGACAGGAGAGCATACAGATGGACACCAGTCAGAGACATAGACGGGGAAAGAGGGACAGATGGTGAGACAGGCAGACAGAGAGCGAGAGAGGGAGACACAAACAAACAGACACGATCGGCAGCCAGAAGGCTGTAGATCATCAAAACCTCCCTCCAGGCATATTTCTATTCGAAATCAATAACTCTATTGAATTTTACATAAACCTATGTGCATTTACAGTCCCAGGACTTTAAATTCTTAAAGCCACGGTTGTTTCTTTTTATTCTGTGTGTTCCTTCACCTGCTGCTGTCCAGCACAAGGCAGACAACTCAAACATCGAGCAAAAACAGCGTGTTTAATGAAAAGGCATCACAGCCGATAACAAACAATTCTCTGAATCACATTCTGCTGTTTTACAATAAGATTGTTTGAGGTGAAGCGATTGTGGATTGAAGCTGGAGTTGGAAACATGCTAAAGAACTGCTGTCATGTTTGCAGAAACAGAATCACAAAAAGATGTATATGAAAAGCTCATCTGTGAACCATGTGTGTAAGTTGATGAGCGTTGGTCGACCGGTGGGCGGGACTCGGTTGATGCTTGACTGTTTTCAGCAGGGCTGCAAGGGCAAACCCGTTTTACTTAAAAAGTCCGTAAAATATGTTGCTGAAACATTCTATGGTGAAAAGGGGGGGTATTCATATATATCAGGTCTGCCTAATTTGGTACTTTCGTTGAAGTTTACAAGCTGCATGCAGGTTTTTTTTTCTTAATGTGAAGCAACCGCAATTGATTTTGTGTTATTGGTGAAGAAAAACTAAGGGACAGATTTGTTGTCGGGCATTTTTTAAGTTGTCATAAATAATTGTTTCTTTTTTTAATCTATGTAAGACTACATTTTGCCATGATAAAACCGTTCTATTTATTTATACATCTCAGCACAAAAAGCTCCAAGCCCTTGCAGTTACTTCTGATAATATATTGCCAGCGCTCGGAAATGTAATACAAAATGCAGCCCAAGGCTAAATGGAAGTACATAGCAGGCATCCCCATGTTTGTTTTTGTCGAGTTGGTCCGACCCAGCAACAATAACTACTGACGGGGTGGACTTAGAAAGGATCGATTGGGACACAGTACAATACTGACCATAAATGTAATCATAAATGAAAACAATCAAAAATGATCTCACACAAATACATGAGGAGTGACACAATCTCGGGCATCAGTGAATCTTCTTCCCACGGCGGTTCAGTTTATCACGGGACTCTTTGCAGTAGATTACTGATTCAGCAGAACGAGGCTTCGTGAAAAGGGCTGATGTTGAGACAAAGATATATACGATAAGAACCCTGTGCCTGTGTTTGACCGCACCGACACAACGCTTGATGAGCTCTCGCTCATGTGACAGAAAGGATGATTCATGTATTAATCTAGATATGTTATAAAAAAGGCAAAAGATCTAGCATTTCCCATTTTACTGTCGCATATCCGACATGCATGCAACCATCATACGAAGACTCTGAGTGACAGCCCTTGAAATGAAATGGAGTAAGAGCAGTAACCACTAAGAGTCCCTTCATTTGTGAATGAACAGTGAAGGAAACCTTCCTTGAACTTTCTAACACACACACACACACACACACACACACACACACACACACACACACACACACACAGCCAAGTGTGGTCAAGATTTGAATGATTCAGCCACATGGAGGCTGCCAGTTATCCACTCGGACTGATTATTATCCGCGGCTGGACGGACAGACCACCTGGGCTGAGTGACCATGTGGAACCGATTCTATTATTTCTGGGATTGATTCATCTGGTCTGGCACAAGAAGGGAACCAATGGGATTCTCCTAAAAACTGCAACGTTTTCCTGACCATTGAACCCGAGGAGTGGCTCAGGCTGGTCTGCCCACCGGTCTGTCCACATGTCCCACGGTTGTGAGACATGGCATGGACCAAAACGGATTTGTGTTGTCTCCAAAGGATTACTTCCTGTGAAGACACAAGTCTATTTTAGAATGACACTAAGCATGTCATGAATATTGCCACATCGTCCCTCCCTCATCAAAAGAGACGCTAGAGAGGCAACTAGAGCCTCTTAGTTTAAAGCTGAGGGCCACTGACCAAGCTGTGGTAATTAACTCAAACACCAGCAGGGGGTTACTTGTCAGTTTAAAGTCAATGAATCCTCTTAGAGCGCAAGACACCCAACTACTTCAAGATCACTTATTTAATGCAAAAAAAATCCCTTCTTGAGTGATGCACATTTCCCAAAGTGCTTCATCAGCTTCAGAAAGTGCCTTTCAACAACCTCGCAGATAAAGAGATGTGACCTTGCTTCTCTTCCGCTGTGGATTCCAAATGTAGATGGAAGCAGCGATACCAACGGCACAGCGAGAGTCTCCTGTCGAGAAAAAGGGGATTTGACCTTGATTCAAATCGCAACCTGTCTTCATACTACAATGCATTATTGGCTCTGCCTGGCTGCCGGCTACGGACACCGGTCCGTGCATCTCCTTTGCGGAGACTTATTGATTGATTCAAAACATGTGGTTTTCTTGTCAATGTCTCTGCACTGCCTAGCTGCTGAATTCCAAGAATGATGGCACATTTCCGCAGGTGATTGACAAAAGCCAACAAATCCCAGCTTTGAGTGTTAGAATAAACGTCATAGTTTTTCACACTGCAAGGTTATATTTTACCAACCAAATCATGTGCTCCAGATCTAAATTTAGAAAATGGGATATTTTACTGTTCACACTGAATAGAAGATCAGATTGGAATCGCAGTGAAGTGAAAACAAATCTGACATCAGAATTTTCAGCTGCAAGCAAAACTTACGAGACGCTTAATAAATCCGGGCTCATTAAAATTCTAACTTGAGTCACACTTAAACCCCAGTCACACTGAGCACTATGCAACTCTCCTGGTTGCAACTATCACATTAAAACCAACTCATGCTCATTCTCCACCTCTCAGCATCTTATTGTTGTTCATTAACGCAGCTCATTACCAAATCTGCATGTAATTATGCTTGTGTGAATTCCCACATGCTCCATTTCTGAATTAGTTGAGGCAACATCCCCTCATGATGATGTGTTTTCATGCCTTCTTCCACCATCACAGAGAGTTCAGAGGGCGGCTGCAGCGGCAGGCTGAAGGACACTTCTGCTAATTCAGTCATCCAGAGAAGTGATTTTTTGAGAGGTAGAAATCACCAAACCTGCAACCAGAGTGTTTTATCCGTTGTTCTCTTTGGCCAAGGCACTTATGCACGGCTGTCGGAGTTTGACCTTTGACCTTCATGTAAAAAAATAAGTCAAGTTGAAAAGGTACAGACAGCTTGTAGATTTTTTTTTTATACCAGTTCTGTTTTCCAAAAAGTTGACAGAACATGCAACTTACTCCAGCAGCTTTGCACATTGACAGAACACACGCAGAAGATTCGTGTCGAACTGGTGCCGGAAAATATTAAATCGAATAAAAGAATAATGGCGCAGCTGCGTGAGATGTGGATTGTGAAGTAGATACTACGTGTTATTCGAAGGCTTCTAGGGTGCGTTACATTCACGTTTTTAATGATTGTGTATGAGCACTGAATTACTCAAGTTGTAACTATTTTTCTTTCTCAGACTTGTCTTATTCTTTGGTCTTGAGCATGTTCAGTTGGATCGTTTCATTTTTCTTTTTCTTTGTTCATCAGTTTGGGCTTTCATGCTTCGCATCAGTCACAGGCTGTTCTGCTTTCATTTAGGTGTCAGTTCACGAAACGTTCTTCGATTTTACAAGTGCAGGTGGTGATTCAAGCTCATTCTATGGGGCATCATTGCCACGTGCCTTCATTTTAGGAGTCTAGTTTAATGCAAAAATGTACAGAAAGATACTTTAACTGCATTAGCAGAAGGAATACTCAGTAAAGGTACTTATGTACTAATACTGTGATGTAAATATACTGCTGTAAATGTATTAATGAAAGATTAAAATGCAAAAGTATTATCAATTAAATGTATGGTAAATGTGTTAGATGTATAGAAAATTAACCTTTGACTGAAAAATATTAAAATTTCTATTTGTCCCCATGAATGGATTAAAAGCCAAACATGTTTAATCATTAACACTAAAATGTTGTACTTTTATTTAGCACTCACTCGCTGCGTCAGAGGTTGTGTGATGTTAATTACTTTTTAAAGCGTCTAAAGTCAACACGTTGACTCACACCAAGCAGACGTGGCTCAGGAGGACTTTAATCAAAGTAAACCACATATCCATCGGAGAATTCCCACACAGTTCAAAGCACAAGGGAGGACCATTAGTGCGGACGCCTTGTGGGTGGAATGCTGCCTTAAAGATTTAGACGATGCCTCCACTCGTTTTACATTTTGTCAATCTCAGTGTGTGTGTGGAGGAAGAAAATATTCAGTTTCAACATCACTAACCTGACTGGCAGCAAGAGATAGCGGAACACAGAGCTTTGATGATATTCTTGTCAGCTTGTCCGGACAATGTGAGACAGAAGTACCAGAGGCTCAGGCACCACAATCAGGATGAGAAAGGATGATGGGCAAAAAGCCAGTAATCCACATATTTACTATCACTGTTTGAAAGAAATGCTACAAGTCCAACATTGTGGCAAGAGAATCTCACTCTTTCCAGGTCACTTTCTGCACAATTCTGTCACCGGTGGATGAGAAGGACAGGCAATGTTTGGGAATATGAGCATGAACACACATGCACGTGAACGGGGATGCACGTGCAAACACACACACACGCGCGCGCGCACGCGCAAGCTGCAAGCACACACACACATATCCGTAGAGGAATACAATGCTCACATTTGCACCGCGCACAAATTAAACACAACAGCGCGCACACCCCTCCTGTTCCACGCACCAGCCCCTGCGGTCTTACCTCCAGACCTGCCCCAGCTGCAGGACGTGAAGCACGGTTTGAAAGACCCACATGCAGACGGTGCAGCAGCTCCGTGGGGTTCCTTTTATCCCTGCCGTCGCAGGCGGGGCAGAGGACGCGCCAACCGGGGTGGCATTCGCGGCGTCGCCCACCGCCGCGCTCCCACCGCTGTCCTTGGTGCTTAAAGTGTAATCGCCCGCCGCGGCTGCACCGCATGCGTCGTCCGCCGCCGCCTTTGCGCCGGTGCCGCCGCCGCCGCCGCCGCTCGCTGCCCCGTCCCCGCAGCTCAGATCCGAGTAGTCATACACGAACCACCTGAAACTCAGCACCTGGACGACAGCCGAGGGCACCACCACGAAGACCAGCGTCAAGCCGAACCACCAGTAGTCACCTCTCAGGTAGTAGTCGGCGGCCAGCCACAGGTCGGTGGCGCCGTCGGAGAAGAAGACGAGCAGGGCGCAGAGCACCCAGCAGCAGTCCAGCAGCGTGTAGGGCTTCCCGCGGGGCCGCCCGGTGGCGGGGTTCCCCGGCTCCGAGAGGCTCCCGGGCGTGTTGTCATCTTCCACGGACACCGCTGCTCCATCCGATTTAGCGGCCATGTTGGTTGGGATGGGAGAGAAAGACAAGAGAAAGAGGTGGGGATACGTGAGGGTGAGGGGGGGAGAGAGAGAGGGGGAGAGAGAGAGAGAGAAGGGAGGGGGCTGGCTGTGTGCAGGGGGGTGAGAGAGAGGGGGAGATTACGTCATAACTGGCCTCATCATTGACCGGTTAATTGCGGAGGAATCGTTACTAACTGCGCTTTTAATACATCGACACCGCGCGATGTTTTCGGGATATTCGGCGTTTTGGAAACGTGTTTTTAATCGGCGGTGTTTCCAGTTTACGTTGCTGGCGTTAAAATCTCCCCAGTTAAATTGCAGCGGCGTCAAGACTGCACACGACAAGACTGCTGTTAAACTCATTTTAAAACTGTTAATACGTGTATTGGGTTTGTTGTGTTTGTGAATGTTATCAACCGGAATCCGGTCCGCTGCTTCCTGTGCTGCTTCCGCCAGATAAATATCGTCTTAATTGATGAAAGATTATCAGGCGAAGAACTCCGCAGTCTTTTTTTGAAAGTAACTCCCAGCAATATTTAGGGATGTATTTATTTTGCAGAGGTTTTTCCCATGCTTCACATTCTGCCAGTATCAATTATTTTAGGCTCTAAAATCCTGATATGCTGCCAGGGGAACAGAAAGGTTAAAGGGACACCTCAGTTATTTCCCTCTATGGGATCTTCTCTCGGCAAAGAAATCATTGGCTCGTTTTCTTCTTTCAGTGGAGAGATAATCTATCACAAAAATACTCATTGGGACCAAAACCAACAGTGTTTTAGTCCCAACAAATATGTAGTCAATACATATTGTTTGTTTTTTGTATTTTTTGGAAGAGTAGTAATTTGGTAAAAACAACCGGACAATGGAGTTTGTTTTGAAAAATGGTGCGATTAAAGCATTTGATGGCAAGTCGATCCAGCAGCAGGACAGTGTTTATCGAATTAAATAAACAGTTCATGTGTTCATGGCAATAAAAGAAGATGTCACCCAGTGCAACACTGTGGTTCATCATTGTGTTGTTAAGACAGCAAGAACACGGCACAGAGGAAGAAGATGTGTCAGGCATATGCACAGAGTACTTATTAGTTTGATTTCTTCATTGTTGTTTGTTTGTTTGGTAGCACAAAGGCAAGAATAGTATAACACATCCATGGATCCTCAAAGAGGGAAGTCAAAGAAGTTTATTCCTCACTTCCTCAGCTGGTCCCAGACCAGCAGCTTTTTCTATTAACAGGTTGACTCCATTTTCCCATCAGGGCATTTAAATTGCATTTCTCTGATTGTAACGAGGCAGCGATGCATAAAGCTGACAAGGGACTGAACAACATGGTTAATTTACAGCAGTGACCGCGCTAATTGAAAATATTCCTGAAACTCTGAGCAAAATAAGGCAATAAAACTCTTTGGTGATTTGCGGCTTTGCGCTTCACTTCCCCACAATAAACTAATCAGTCGCTGTGTTTCCATGTGGGTGAAAAATAAGGCTTATCTGAACAGTGCTCAATCCAAAATGTCTGTGCAACAAGATACACGGCCCCGTTTGCTAATCTGAAGCTGTCGCCGCACTCACGAACATCCCATCGCAGTGGGATTTTGGTCCTGTGTGGCTCTGGTGTGGAGATTAACCAGATCGGAGATCGGACCTGGAATGACAACGGAAGGCGGTGTTACGGCAACTTGCTAACACTGGAACTGATGAGTCAATCCTATCTTCAAAAATGTCCTCCATGGACTGAATTTCACATCATCTGAGATATGAGGGATTTCTTGCCTGAGGATCAGGGCTAAGCACATATTCCTCAGCATCAATTTCACACAAGTGTCTAACATCTGCTCACCCACATATTTCACCCATCTAAACGGTTTTAACAACAGAGACCAAAATTACCCCCGAAGACGATTTATAACGGCTCAGTGCTGCTTAATTCAAAGCTGGAAGAGTTTTTTTTTTTTCACGTCATATATCAAAAATACATTGACTTGTTTTTGATAAACATTACCCATTATGAGTTTGAGACTAAGGGGAGCTAATTAGAGATCCCAGATCATCACAGCTCAGACTCACTTTGGTAAATCAGAGCAGAAGTTCTGCGTTCAGTAAAAAAACACTAATATTTTTAGTAATTTTATCACTTATTTTGTAGTTTCCTGCCTCTCGTTGTACCTTGGTTAGCTTCACTTCCTGTCGTGTTGTCCCCTGTGATTGTTTCCACCTGCGTCCAATCACCTGCACCTTCACAGTGTATTTAAACCATGTGCGTGCGTCTCTTGTCGGTTCATTGTATGTGTCTCCTACGTCTGCGTGTTCCTGTTCTGCGTTTTGCTCCTAAGCATTTCAGATTTTGGTAATCAAAGTATTTGTGTGCGCAGGTTTGTGTCTCCTGCCACCCTTACGTGACAGAACGAACCGAGCAGAGAAAAGAGACTCACATGGTTTAAACACACTGCAGAGGTGCAGGTGATTGGACACAGGTGGAAACAATGAGGGACCTCGGGGGACAATAATGGGGGACAACACGAAAGGGCAGGAAGTGAATCGAACTGAGGTACAACGAGAGGGAGGAAACTACAAAATAAAACAGGAAACAAACCACAATGTGACAGAATCAAGCGTTTTACACTAATTGTTTTTCAACAACCAACGATTAAAATAGTCTCCATAGTCTGACCACTGGTATGGTTGATGGTTGGGGCGTGAATCCACTCTGGCTAAACATGAAGAGTAAGAATATATACCTTCATGTTAAGAAGGTAGAGAAATATTTTGCTCTAGAACTTAAATGAATTTCATCCATACCAAACTATGTCTATTACATACATATTTCTGTCGTTACCTGTGAAAACATTTGTAACTCTGAAAGAGAAAGAAGAATATCAATTTCAGTGCAGAATCCGCTTTTGTAAAACAACTGATTTTGTATGCATCGTTCACTCATTCACACACACTCCAGTCAGAGCGCCCCCATCAGACCAGGGAGTGCACATCCTCCGCGTCCCTTCGGGAGTCGCAGTTCTCTTCATTCTGCTTTACCTCAACGCGCGCTCTGTCGTATCGCTCACAAGCTGCACGTTCCCTGACAAATGAGGGTCATTACGAGTTTGAGAGCACAGGGAGCTAATTAGAGGTCTCAGATCAGTGCTGCTGCTGCTGCTGCGATACGCTTTGGTGAATACACACAGACTGCCAGCTTCAAAGCGACTCTTAAAACATCTGCACCAGTACACCATTATTCCTGAAATAATGAATTTCGCTTTAAATGCTTGGTAACTTTCAGTGGAGAGTGACAGAAAAGACGTCTGTCTCATAATGAATGTCCAACTTCCATACGGATCCATACGTTTGGGAGTCTGTTAAGCTCTCAGGTGACAAACGTCCGTCACTCGGCCTGGTCAACAATATCGTTGTTATCAGAATATACATATAAATAACAAAGTGACAAATTATAAAAACCTCAACTTTATTTCAACTTGTAAAGCATCATCTGTTGTATATGAATCGTCAAATGTTGTGATAACAAAACAGTCTCAGCCAAACAATTGTGCAATTATGTGGGCTCAAGCTGACAGCTGTATGCGAATTGGATGCAAACTGCTGAGTGGAGAGCCGCCCATTAGCTCGGCCCCATCAGCTAGCGCAGCTCATTACTGCCCCTTCGCCCTCACGGATCCATCCAGCAGACTTTTCTGCCTCCTCATCAGAGCACATCCAGGCTGAGCAGGCCGGGGGCTCCTCTGTGATAGCGTTCATGCTACGAAATTGGGTCCAACAAACACAGGCAGCACATTATTCTTCTGTCTCTTTTTTTGTGTGCCAAACACAAAAATGTAATGTTGTCTTTTTTTTCTGTCTGCTGTTCCTGCAAACAAAGGTCAAGGTGAAAGTAAAGGAGCTAAACGGGATGAATGTCACATGTTGATTTTAATAGCATTTGATGTTCTGTTAATAAATGTGATATGTTGTGCAAAATGTCCGATAGTTATGGAACATAGAAAAAGTATACGTACATGAAATACTTGTTTAAAGACCTGAACTAAAATACTGCACACATTACATACACATGAAATACTGAACACACTTGTAGGTTTCCTTATCAAGAGCCGACAAAGTATATTACTTTATACTTTTCATTAAATGCTATGAACTTGTTCTAAAAGTGTCTTTCAACATTAGATGTTTGTTGTTTGCTCAATCTCATACTGTGTATGATGCATATTTAAGTTTGTAATGTAAGCATTTTTATTTTCAGTGACACGTAATCCCCTCAAACTATTCTATGCCATACTAGATAAAAGGTGTTCCCTCTGAAAGATTGTCTACGGTGCAAGATGGCACACAGCTGTCATTCAAACCCCCTCTTAAATGTGCACGCCTTAGAAGCCTTAACTTCAGATCACCACAACACTAAAATCCACAAATATTTTGGGGAAATCTGGATAGAAAGTCATTCAGCCGAGTGGAGCTCTCTAATTAGTTTTCATAACTGGCTAAGAGGTTTTTTTCAACTCCCCCACTCTCCGCCCGCTCGACTCAAATAACTTATTCCAAAAAATGGAAAGAAGCTGAGCAGTATTTAGATATGGGCTGCATACTACCGCAACATTTAAATCTTCTATTGAGGTGAAGCTTTTTTCCTAAAACTATAAAATTAGTCATCAGATAAATAAATCTATTTCTTTTTCTTTTTTTTATTTGCTTTTATATTTGACTTGCCAGTTTTGAGGAAATTGAGAAATTCAGGCCGAAGATGAAGCAGGAGTTTCTGTCACGGCTGTTCAGCACAAAGCTATTTTTCATTAAAGCGATGACTGTTACTAGACTCACGACTGACGATGAGACCGTTCTCTCCCGTTCCCATGGTTGTTGTTTGTTTTTGCAAAGTGACAACTGTGGTCTTTCACTGGCCGCTATACTGGGCTGGAGATGAGAGGGGAACAGAAAGGCCAGTAACAAAGTGTTAATGTTACCATTAGAAAGGCCCAGTACGGCAATCTGACTGTGC